ATATATTCATATATAGTCTTAAATTATAAATCCAATTGGTAAGGATTTTATTTTTAATCACCTAGTAACCCCAAATTCACAGTAGTGTAGCATACACAAGAACTGTTAAAAGATGTATGATTTTTACACTTATTGGAAAACAGAGATTGTATAAATAAATAACATACGCTGCTGATATTATTTAAGACTAATTATTCCATCTTGTTAACAAAAAAATGAAAAAGAGACTATAGGTGTTCTGGTGTGGTGCTGTAGGATAAGCATTGGACTGCAAGGTCAGTTTGAACTACAAGGCTGGTGATTAGAACTCACCAGCAGCTCCTTGGAAAGCCTACACGGGACTGCTATGACACTTAACAACAGCAAAACATCATATGAAATAAGATCTATGAAATTCCTTTATTTCTCTGCCCCTCTTTCCAATTTCCAATTCCCACAAATCCTCCAGACCTAAATGTAATATTAGACTTTAGTGACATGCTTTAAAATGTGATCTTTGTTATTTTTTTCTTAATGCACCGTTGTTGTTAAATGCTCTCAAGTCAGTTCCTATGCGTAGCGACCCTATACAGGGTTTCTGAGGAGCGCTGGTGAGTTTGAACTTCTGACCCTGTGGTCATATTATATTAAATGGTCTTAAAAGTACCATATGCCTACAATTGCTGTAGGATATTCTGGTAGCGTTGGAGGAACTAAGTTCCTGGGTAGTGTAAGCAGTTTGTAATCAGCTACTAGTGGCATAGTAGGATAAACACTGGACTGTTAATCAAGGTCAGTGGATCAAGCCCACCAGCTGCTCCTCAGAAACCCTATACATAGTCACTACAAGTCAGAATGAACTTGATAGCACTTAACAACAACACTAGCCTCATGATCGGTGGTTCAAACCCACCCAGGACTGCCATGGAAGCAAAGTCTGGCAGACTCCTTCCATAATATCTCTATCCAAGGAAACGCTATGGAACAGTTCTACTCTACAGTGCATGACATCACCACGAATTGGAACTGACTCGATTGCAACAGGTTTGATTTGGTTTTTAAGTACTTTTTTGCTGATTTCTTTTTATTTCCTTAACTCATGTGCCTTTTGCTCCCCATTTTAGTAACTCACTCTTAGAAAGTTCTCAGTCCCATGGATGAAGCCACTGTCCTTCCTATCATTTTTGTGCCAAACCTCAGGACAACCTTTTCATTATATTCTTATTTGTTGCTTATAATTGGTTGTCAAGTTCGATCCATTCTATCTCTGCAATTTGGTTTGCTTCTGCCATCATACTTCTCTGTCAATCAACAGTTCAGAGCCACAGGGGAGCATCCTCTTCAGTGTTCTTCATTCATGTATCCAATATTTATTTAGTTCCTCTAAATCTGCTGGCTGCTGGGGAAACAATGAGGAATGGTTTCTGTACTTTCAAGAAGTCACAATCTAGTGGAAACATAGGCTTATCAGCAAACAGTTGCAGTATTGTGTTCTGAAAATTGTTTCTGAGGAAAGTTGCTGTGTTGACGTCATATAATGTGCCTTTGCTATTACCAGCTATAAATAGTAGAAAAATAAGTTTAATAACTATATTTCTGGCTTTTATGGTTAAAGTTATATAAGTTAGCTAACCAATAAAAATTTAAATTTCTCTTTGAAGCCTATAGTTTCCAATTTCTCTGTGACCTGGTTTTCCTTAGAGCAAACATCTCTTAATAGAGTCAATATACTTCAAAAATAATTCTTAACTCTCTGAGCAGTCCCGATGCATAACTAAAAGTGTGTACATTCTTTTATGCATTTGTATGAGTATATTCTTTCTGAATTCAGGTTAATGGTCGGATTTACCTTATAATCAACAGCAGTCCAATTCATGATTACCAAATAACAGTTAGGAACATTCCCTTGTAAGGACCATCTTTTCCCTAAATCATTTTAGGAAAGACCATTTTCACAGTAGGTAGGGAGAAGGAGGATAAATGTTTGATACAAGTCCATTATATTGGAACTGTGGTACTTACTCTTGGCTGTCTTTACTTCCAGTTACAAGAAAACACATGAAACCCTGAGTCATGCAGGGCAGAAGGCAACAGCAGCGTTCAGCAATGTTGGGACAGCCATCAGCAAGAAATTTGGAGACATGAGGTACTGTGAGAAAAAGCCCTGGAGACCATATATAGTCTTGACTTTCTGAAAAAGGGAAGCTTACTCTTTCCTTTCATTCTTAATTTATTTTAAAGGATTAAAGTTTCAGATATCTACTATGATGACTGAGTTTCAGATATCTACTATGATGACTGAGATATATTTTGCATATTGGGGTATTTTCTGCCTAAAACTCAAAAATAGTCCTGATCCCTATGATGCCACTTTCAAAGGATCCAACCTCATAGAAATAAAAACTATAGAGTGCATTACCCTATCCCTTAAACTACTAGAAATGGGAGATTTCCAAGGATACAGTAGATGCTGAAGCTTAACTAATGTCATTTAAATAACAATTTAAAATATGCGTTGAGTGGAATATGCTTGGTTCTGATTCACAGCAATCCTGATACTTTCCTAGGCTGAAAATCTTTGCTGGAGAAATCCTCATCTTTCTGTCAGTTTGTCATACTGTGGTGGCTTACATGTTGATATGATGCTGGAAGCTATGCCATCGATATTTGAAATACCACTAGCAGGGTCATCCGTGGAGTTCTGGTGTGGTGCTGTAGGATAAGCACTGGACTGTTAACTGCTAAGTCAGCAATTTAAACACCCCCCCACCCCCCACCCCCAGCCTTTCCTGGAATACCCTATATAGAGCCCTTATGAGTCAGAACTAACTCGATGGCATTTAATAACAACAATGGTATATTCATTGTAAATATCTTTTAAAAACAAGATAAAAGATGGACTACACAGGAATCACTTTGACTACATCTGTGAAAAGAGACAGTGGAAAAGCTTAATATCATTAGCCAAAACAAGGCCAGGGGCAAACTGTGGACCATCATTTGCTCATATGCAAGTATCAGCTGGGGCTGAAGAAAATTAAAACAAGTCTATGGGAGACAGAATATGACCTTGAACATATTCCACCTGAATTTAGAGACCATCCCAAGAACAGATTTGATGCATTAGACACTAATGACTGAAGACCAGAAGAGTTGTGGAATGACATCAACAGCGTCTTACAGGAAGAAATCTCTAAGTCATTAAAAGACCAAAACGGATGTCAGAAGAGACTCTGAAACTTGTTTTTGAGCTCAGAAAAGCTAAAGTGAGTGGAAGAAATGTGGACATAAAAGAACTGAACAGAATATTTCAAAGGGCAGCTCAAGAAGACAAAGACAAGTATTATAATGAAATAGAACAAAAACCTGGAGTTAGAAGACCAAAAGAGAAGAACAAGTTCAGCATTTCTAAAACTAAAAGAACTGAAGAAAATTTTTAAGCCTCAACATGCAATATTGAAGGATTCTATGGGCAAAATATTGACTGGAAAAGAAAGCATCAAAAGATGATGGTTTACAAAGAGTCAGTGTACAAAAAAGAAATGGTTGATGTTCCATCATGGCAATAGGTAGCATATGATAAAGAAGCCAGGTACTGAAAGAAGTTTAAGCTGCATTAAAGGCATTTGTGAAAAACAAGGCTCCAGGAATTAGTGCTATACAAACTGAAGTCTTTCAACCAACTGAGTAAGCATTGAAGGCATTCACACATCTATGCCAAGAAATTTGAAAGACAGCTACTTTGCCAACCCATTGGAAGAGATCCATATTTGTGCTGATTCCAAAGAGAGGTAACTAAACAGAATGCAGAAATAATTTAACAATATCATCAATATCACATGCAAGTAAAATTTTGCTGAAGATGGTACATTGACAAGGAATTACTAGAAATTCAAGCTAGATTCAGAAGAGGATATGGAACAAAATGTGCTGATGCACAGAATACCATAAAGATGTTTAATAGTGCTTTAATGACTATGAAAGACTTTCTACTCTGTGGGTCATGATAAACTATGGAAAACATTGTAAAGATTGGTTACTCCAAAATACTTAATTGTGCTCATGGGGAACCTGACCAAGAGGCAGTCATTTTAACAAAACAAGGGGAAACTGAATGTTTTAAAATCAGGAAAGTTGTGTTTCATAGCTGTGTCCTTTCACGATATTTATTCAATCTGTAAATTTAGTAAATAATCTGAGAAGCTGAATTATATGAAGAAGAACATGGCATTAGGATTTAAGGAAGTCTCATTAGCAACATGTGATATACAGATGATATAATCTTGCTTGCTGGAAATGACGAGGACTTAAAATATTTAGATAAAGATCAAAGAGTGCAGCCTTCAGTATGGCTTGCACTTCAATGAAAAGACAACAAAATTCTCACAACTGGATCAATAAATAACATTATGATAAATGGAGAAAAGAATGAAGTTGTCAAAGACTTCATTTTGTTTGGATCCACCACCACCAGTCATAGAAGCAGCAATCAAGAAATCAAATAACGTATTGCATTGGGCAAATCTGCTGCACAAGACCTCTTTAAGTGAGTGTTCAAGAGCGCAGATATCGCTTTGAGGACAAGGGTGTGTCTGACCCAAGCCATGATATTTTCAATAGTCTCATACGCAGCTGAAAATTGGACAATAAATAAGGAAGACTATAGAAGATGCATTTGAGTTATGGTGCTCGAAAGAATATTAAAACTACCTTGGACTGCCAGAAGAACACACAAATCTGTGTTGGAATAAATATAAACAGAAGGCTCTTTAGAAGCCAAGATGTCCAGATTTTGTCTCTCCTACTTTGGACAGTGAATAAGGAAGACCGTAGAAGAATTGATGCTTTTGAGTTTTGGTGTTGGAGGAGAATATTGAAAGTGCCATGGGCTGCCAAAAGAACCAATAGATCCGTTTTGGAAGAAGTGCAGCCAGAGTGCTCCTTGGAGGCCAGGATGGCCAAACTTCGTCTCTCATACATATTGTCAGGAGGGACCAGTTGCTGGAGAAGGATATCATGTTTGGTAAGGTGGAGGGTCAGAGAAAAAGAAGAAGACCCCAATGATATGGATTGGCCAAGTGGCAACATCGATGGACTCAAGCGTGGCAACAGTATTGAGGTTGGCCCAGGATCAGGCAGTGTTTCATTCTGCTGTGCCTAAGGTCGCTATGAGTCGGTACTGACTCGATGGCACCTAACAACAACAACAACTTTGGAAATGTTATCAGGAGGGCCCAATCCCTGGAGAAGGACATAATGCTTGGTACATTCATGTTCATATACTTGAATAAGTTTCATATCCAAGTTGTGTTGACTGGTTTACCTCCTGGTTCAGTGTGACTTTTTTTTAGGCTAATGGAGAATCTACTTCTTTGGAGTTCTAAAAATGTCAGTAAATATTTTTCTATAAAGAGGATAGATACAACACTTCAATTATAAACTGTTGCTAAAAATATTGGAAGATATAGCTTATATTTTAATCACTCAAATGCAATCCTGAGTGCTGTTGAATCTGTTCCAATTTATAGAGACCCTGGATAGGGTTTCCGAGACTGTGAATCTTTGCAGAAGCAGAACGCCTCATATTTCCCCTGAGAAGTAACTGTGGGCTCCAACCAGCGATTTGCTTATCCTGCAGAGCATGGTAGCTACTGTAGAGTTGGAAATTTACAGAGCTGTATTTGTCTTGAACTATAACATCTAATCTGAGGTACTGCTTTGCGAAAGCAACAGATTTGCAAAGAGCTATTAGTTTTAAGCTTTGTTAGAATTTAAAATTGCTTACATTTAATTGAATAAAGCTTAGTAAATTATTTGTTTTGGTCCAAATGTAGATACCAGTTTTCAAAATGATACTGGAGATGGTTTGAAATTGTACCACAGACATTTTCTTTTAAATATCTTTCTGTTTTTTATTATTTTACATTTTTATTAGTTGTACTATACATTTATTTTATGCATTCTGGGAACAGGCTTCTGAACTTGATCACAAAGATTCCCAAAAAAATTCAGCTACTGGGGAAGAAATTTTTATTTAAAACAATTCCAAATTAATACACAGATTTTGAAAACCTAGATTTGGACCTTTTATTAACTGAAGAAAAAGCACTATGTTAGAATTTACTTTTTATGTTTTATAAAAAGTTGTTGTATTTCCAGAGTTAATAGTCTCAGTTTTACCTGATGACTAGTGAAGTTTCCTTGGCCTAGCACATGGACTTGTGCAGTCTTGTTTTGGTCTATAAGGTATAAAGTTCATACCTGCCTACTAACTACAGTGTCCGGTGAAGTTCAGGTCAAGTCACATTTATGAAAGTATTCAGGAGAAATGCAAGCTGTTGACTCATTTTTACAATAATATGGCATTTTCTTGGGACTTCGAAGTAAATCTCTTCAAACTGTGATTCTAGTGGGGATGAGATGTTTGGAGGAGGCATATAGTTTTTAAGGCAAGTTCAGCCTTCTGTATACATCTATTGTTGTTATATTAAGTACTGTTGAGTCAGTTCCAACTCATACCGACCCTGTATAGGGTTTCCAAGGATTTGAATTGCCGACCTTGTGGTTCGCAGTCCAGTGCTGATCCTACAGCATCATACCAGGAGTCCTATATGTCTATTGCTGTTGTTGTTGTGTTGTGTTAAATGTTTTCGAGTCAATTCTGACCCATAGAGACCCTGTATAGGGTCTCCAAGGAGTGACTGGTGAGGTTGAACAAGCCCACTTTGCAGTCCAGTGCATTAACCCACAGCACCTATAGGAACAGTAAAAGCCAGTCGCTGCTGAGCCAATTCTGTGAATCAACGTGTATAGACTTTCCGAGACTGTAAATCTTTATGGAAGCAGAAAGTCTCATCTCTCTCCTGAGGCGTGGTTGATGAATTTGAACTGCTAACCCTGCGTTTAGCAGCCCACTGTGTAACATACTATACTACCAGGGTCCTTAGAGCCCTTGAAAGGGGGGACAACAAAGGTAGTGTGTTCATGTCTTTGCATCCTATTATGCTAACTCTCTCCTGCTCTTCTCTCCTGTGCTGCAGATCTCACTCTATTGGGTAAGCATTGGCCACATGTGGGAATTGGTTAGCTGCCTCGCTGCTCCCCGGGGTCCCTCTGTTCCTTTCATACTGTGCATCAGCAACAAAGGCAGCTCCATTTTTTTCAGCGAGTTAAATGACCTGAAAGATACAGATGGTTGTTGTTAGGTGCCATTGAATTGGTTCTGACTCACAGCGGCGCTGTATAGGGGTTCTGAGGGGTGGATGGTGGGTTTGAACTACATGTGGTTAGTACTTAGTGCTTCTCCTACAATGCCACACCAGGACTCTGATACACATTGTAGAGCAGTCAATACATTTACATGTATTTGTTGTTGCTGTTAGATGCCCTCAAGTCAATTTATGGGAGCTCTGGTGGCACAATGGTTAAGTGCTCAGTTGCTGACTGAAATAGGTGCTTTGAACCCTTCCAGTGTGATGTGCTCTCATTAAGATTACAGCCCTGAACACCCTTTGGGGCAGATCTTCTCTATCACATGAGCTGTTATGAATTGAGAATCAACTCTAGGACACCTAACAACAATCTTTATGGAAGAAAATCACCAAGTCTTTCTGCTGAGGAGCTGCTGATTGGGTTCGAACCGCCAACCATTTAGATAACCATTGCACCACCACGGCTGCTTTGAAATTTTTTTAGGCACATAATTTTTTTCATTTTGATTTGACACCAATTTGACTCGCTGAGCCATCTTTTAGGAATCTCTCTTTCTACATGATTTCTTTCCACACCAGCAGAGGTCTTTGATTTATCTACACTTAGAATTGAAAGAAGGGGGAGCGGGGACAAGGGGAAGGAAAGAAAGTAGAAATTGAGAATTGAGTATTTTTATCTGATTTATAGAAAGTAAAGTTGAGAAACAGAAAATTCTATGTTTCTAGATGGCCATATTAGTCTGAATTTCTTGTAACTGTTATTAATGTGAGCATGTCACCTACTTTCTGTGCCTTCTGAAGGTGAAGGGGAGAAAGCTTACTGGACAAGCACATATGTTAATAAGCATGCAGTGATCAGCTCCAAGCCTCTACTGTAGCTTTCTTTTAGCTGGAATTTTATGATATATTTTTTACCTAAATTTTTCCAAGATATATATGTAAAACGAGATGGACACATTTCTTTTAGTAATACTTGTTTTCCATGTGATTTCTGAGGAAACATTTTACCTATAATTTCTAAACAGTACCTGGATAAGATCGTAAGTTTGCCCTGGATAAGAACAAAGTTTCTTTGTTCTTTTCTCTTTGTGTACTAGTGAAGTGTTGCTCACACTAATTACCTTAGTGAATAGTGTCAGGAAAGGGTGATGACTTTGGCCTCTGATTGGTTGGCATCTGGACTGTGTTGAAAAGTGTGATAGAGGAGTACTATCCAAGAAAACTGCACCTTGTTTTCCTTCCTTCCTCCCTCCAGCCTGATTTCTGAGTGGAATTCACATAGAAGAGAGGAGGCAATCCAAGGGAAGAATGGGGCTAATATATAGAATGAGAAAGATGTGTCCTCAGGATTCTCAGAAAGATTTATTTATATTTGTATTCGATGTTTTTGAGAAACCAGAATGGATGCTGAGTTCTTTTTCTCATGTTGGACTGTGTGAATCCTTTGCCTGTCATATGAATACTTGAATGTCTTACATTAACTATGTAAAGTCCTCTGGACAGTGTTTCTACAATGGGATATCTTGAATGTCTTACATTAACTATGTATAGTCCTCTGGACAGTGTTTCTACAATGGGATATTAGCTTCTATCTGCCCCATCCCTCACTGTCTCCTTCAGCAGGAAAAGGATAAGAAGTCCTTGGCTGGACATATGGGGATGGATATAGATTACTGGGCTGAACTGGGAGAAATGACACATTCTGCTCAGATATCCTGGTTTAGGGAACCTACAAGGAGTACTCAACCTTGGAGTAACTGTTCTTGGGAGCTGATCAAACCCGAAACAAACCCATTGATCTAATTATAGGACAGAGTAGAACTGCTCCTCCGAGTTTTTAAAGATGATAAATCTTTATGAGAACAGATGCCCTTATCTTTCTCCTGTAGAGCAACTGATAGGTTTGAACTATGGACCTTGAGGATAGCAGTCCAACACTTAACTCACTATACCACAGGACTCCTTTAGAAACTGATGTTGCTGTTAAGTGCCATCAACTCTATTCCAACTCATAGTGACCCTGTACAGGGTTTCTTAGGAGCTTATGCTACTGTGCCATAGTAGTCCTGTGCTTACCTACAGCACCAGGACTTCTTGGAAACTGTTGTAGTTGTTGTTAAGTGTCGTCGAGTCAGTTCGACTTATAGCAACCCTGTCTGTATAGGGTTTCCGAGGAGCAGCTGGTGAGTTTGAACTGTTGACTTTGTGGTTCAAACTGACATTGCATTCCAGTGTGTTAACCTGTAGCACCAAACCAGAAACTGATTGTTGTTGTTGTTAAGTGTTGTGAATTCAGTGCCAACTCATAGCGACCCTGTATAGGGTTTCTGAGGAGCAACTGGTGGGTTTGAACTGCTGACCTTGTGGTTTGCAGTCCACTTTTGATCCTACCAGAAACTGATAGCGGACCCATAATACCCCAGATAAACAAATCTATTGGAAGAATGGGCAGAGCATAGTCAAGACATTCGCATTGCTGTTTTAGTTCTGTGAAGAGGACATTATTTCATATACTTATATTAAGCTGTTTTCTCTTTTTCTTTCTTTCCCTCCACCCTTCTAATCTGCTTTTGCCTTGAAGCTACTCCATTCGTCATTCTATAAGTATGCCTGCTATGAGGTAATGTGTGTAAATTATTTTTATATAATACTATTGAAAAATGTGTGTAATGTGGTTACTTTATTGGCATTTACTTTGTAGTGTTTTGTTTTTTCCATTTTACAAAAAGAAATTACTGTGAAGTTCCATGAATTGTCTCATTCTCCTATCCAGTGGTCTTGAGGAACAAAGCTGACAATTCTGTAGACATATGGTGTAATGGACTTGGGCTTTTCAATAGACAGTGTCTGCTTTGTGAAGTAAAACAAATTACCTATCTATCCTAATCTCCTCTGGGGAAATGAAGTCTACCTCATATGGTGTTACAGAGGCATAAACAATGTCATTAAAGGAAGTGGCCAGTGAAAGTTTATACAGGAGGCTCTTCTAGCTAAGTGCAGTCCTTCACTTTTGCATGGCTTTGTGATAGAATCAGATCAAGTCAAATTAATAGTGATAGAATACACAGGAATGAATGTGAGATTGAGATGTAGGGACACAGGTGGTAGCTCAGTTCTTTCAAGAATTAGCTTTGTAGCCTTGAGAAAGTCACTCAGTCATATGAGTTTCATCGTACTTAAAATAAAGGGCTAGAATTCACAAACATTTTGATCAAAAATTCTATGGAAGAAACCTGATTAAAAAGGAGAAAATGCAAAACAGGACTACAAAATCCATGCTTTCTGGAGCCAGGAAGGCTGGATGAACCCCCAAAACTATTGCCTTTTAAACATTAAACCTTACACCAAAAATACTGCCTGAAATCTTCTAAAAACCAAACAATAGTGTAGCTTAACTAGTAAAGACCTTCAGCCTGGAACAATGTGGTCTTTGAAGAACTACCTATAGGGAATGAAATTGACGAGAGCAACTTGAATTATTAGCTAGGAAACTTAGACAGCAGTGAGTTCATGCTGATGGAGGAGGGACAGTCTGCAAAAGGAGGGTGAGAATGGCGGCAGAACCTCACGAGTATAACCAGTGCCACTGAATTAGATGGTGAATTGTTCTGCTGAGTATATTCTCAACAACAATAACAAAAAAATAAAATGAATGAAAAACAAAAGACTAGAACCAGATTTACTGCTCTTCCCACAATGCTCCCCACAGCTCTAGAGCTGCCTGGGCCACTGTGGGTGGTGGGAGAAATCAAGTCTCTGGAAGCCTCACCCACTTCAATTAGGATTATACCCCTTATACCTGCTCTATATATTGGGAGTAGATTCATTACGTTGGTGTTAAGTGTCACTGAGTCGGTTTCGACCCTGTATAGCTAGGGTTTCCAAGGAGCAACTGGTGAGCTTGAACCACCGACCTTGCTCTTCAAACCGACTTTGCAGTCCAGAGTATTAACATAGCACCACACCACGACTCATTATTTGTTGTTGTTAAGTGCTGTCAAGTCGATTCCGACCCATAGTGACCCTGTATAGGGTTTCTGTGGAGCAGCTGGTGAGCTTGAACCGCAAACCTTGCAGTTCAAACGGCTTTTGAAGTCTGGCGCATTAACCCTCACAGCACACCAGGACTCATTATGTTGTTGTTGTTAAGTGCCGTCGAGTCGGTTCCGACCCATAGCGACCCTGTACAGGGTTTCCGAGGGTGTAAATCTTTACGGGAGTAGAAAGCCTCATCTTTCTCCCGCGGAGCGGCTGGTAGTTTCGAACCGCTGACCTTAAGGTTCGCAGCCCGATTCGTAACCACTACGCTACCAGAGCTCCTTAGGACTCATTATGTTGTTAAGTGCCATCGAGTCGGGTCTAGGACTCATTATGTTGTTGTTGTTGTTAAGTGCCGTCGAGTCGGTTCCGACCCATAGCGACCCTGTACAGGGTTTCCGAGGGTGTAAATCTTTACGGGAGTAGAAAGCCTCATCTTTCTCCCGCGGAGCGGCTGGTAGTTTCGAACCGCTGACCTTAAGGTTCGCAGCCCGATTCGTAACCACTACGCTACCAGAGCTCCTTATAGAGAGGGTTAAATTTTTGATCACTGAAGCCAAATTCATTCTAGGGTCATTTGCAGTGTTAAAGTTTGTAGTTGTCCATGCTATGATTAAATCTGATGAGACTGTTTCTCCTTGTTCTCCAGCATGTACTCTACTATAATTTAATTAAAGGAATATCTGTTCAATTATGTCTAATGAAATCTCTTCTGTACTGAGGTTATTTGGTTCATTTGTTGATTTGGGAACTTAAACACAGTATTTGGTTTCCTTAGATTGGTAATAAATACAGAGTATAGATTCCAGATAGCTTGGTTCATTCTTTAAAGTCTTGCTTCCCTATTAAAGGAAAATCCAAATTGAGTCCTGCAATCTGCGACACTGAGCTCTTTCATTGACAGGGTTTCTAAGTCTGGGTGTTCAAAGAAGGCTTGCAAAAGTAACCTGCTTATTCTCTGTGAACTAAAAATCTGTCTAGTAACTTATGAGGCAAACACAGTCTCCATGAGCTTGCTAGAAATTAACATAAAAATAATGTTACTCATCCAACATATAATCATGGTCCTGTATAATTGATAATAATGACATAAGCAGATGAAATAAAAATTGCAGTGGAAGTAAGATGACAAATACACACACACACATACAAGGATGCTTTAAAAAGTTTATGGAAAAATGGAATGAAAAGATAGTGGGGAAAAATATTTTTCAGTCATTCAAGTTTATTTTCACTAATATCTCACCATGAAATAGAAGCATTATAAAGGTTTGCTCAGGAATTTGGCTCACATTTGAGTAATGCATAACGTCTGATGCTGAACTCACCATAGTTAATTCATGCAGCTTGAATGGCAATGAAATTCTGACCATGTGGATTATTGTTTCTGATATTATTAGAGTCCGGCTTCATCCCATATCATAAAATGAAGCCTGTGTTTTATAGCCATTTTCCTTTAGATGTTTCCTAGGCCATCTCTCTTACTTTACTTTGTGTGCAGCCAAGAGAAAATGTTGTTGTTAGGTGCCATCGAGTCAGTACCAACTCATAGCAACCAAGAAGTGGTTGATGAGAAGTAAGAACATCTAGTTGAATTATCTGACTTTAAATTGATGGCAACCCTTGTTGCTGAAAACTGACATGTATAGAATTTTCAAGAAACTTTAGTCTGGCTCCTGTTTTCTTTACTTTGGTGATATTTTTAATGATAAGTTAATGCTATCATTAAATCATAATGGCACATGGAATTCCAATATAGAAAACTACTAGACTCCAAATGAAGCATCTAACTCTTAGAGCAACAAGATATTATTATACACAGGTTATTTAGCACAATGAATGAGTCACAAATTAAATGCCGGTAGGCTATCTGAAAGTTCTATCTGGTAAGAGAACAAATAAATACATCCTTTTTGAGGTGAAACATCAAAACACTGCTAATCCTGCCATTTGTGATCAGGGCTTTAGGCAAGTAATAGGTGTGTTTAAATTTAAGATAATAGAAGCACTAACTTCATAAAAGTTGACAAAGTGACAACTTTTTGTGGCATGGAAAAGACAAAAAATCTTACAAACATTCTTTTCCTTGAGCGTCTTCTGTCATGCTTCACACTCACTGAAATATTAAATAACTTTAAGTCTTACTGTGAGAAAATTCAAACATGACATGCTTCAGACAGACTTTCCTTGCTTACAAAAAAATAAAGTTGGAAAAAGAAGTGTTGTGCCAGAGACATAGTTAATTAGTAAATTAAAATTTTGAGCTATCAAAAAATTAAGCTATCTACCATTCATCTATCTAATTCATTAGAAATAATATGGAGTGCATTATGGAATTTTTGCAGTCTTATCATTGCAAAATGATACACATGAGGTCACAAGGACTGGAATTGGCCTCATGCAACTTGTGGTCATTGTTCTATTACTCAATCTATAGTTGAGTATCTGAGCATTTTACTTAGGTTATGGTTTCTGGACCTAACCCAGCAGAAGTGAAATATGTATTAAAACATAGTTGGTGTGGGTGGCAAACTGACAGCTAGTTCTGCTGCCAATGTGACGTTTACAAATCGGAACAGAATACTGAACAGCATGGTTACTAAGACAGCTAGATGTTCGGAGTTGACCTCTTTTCTTTTATTATTTTAGGAATTCTCCTACTTTCAAATCATTTGAGGAGAGGGTTGAGACAACTGTCACAAGTCTTAAGGTACAGACGAGTGAATTCTGTGTGGTGGAGTCTGTTGTATCAGGGCAGCTTAGTCATTGCTGTGGTTACTTCTGAAGGCAGTGCTAGCCACGATTCTGTGCATCCATGCAGGCCAATTTGCACAAAGTCAATCTCTTCCCCTTATGTATAAATCTATAAATTAAACCAATATTAAACAGTATTATGATATCCTTAACAGGGTCATCCTTATAATCCAATCAGGGGCAACTTGTTCATTAAACAGAACTGAGGTTTATGTTCATTATTTCTTGATATCTTTACTTGTAGAATTTTTAATATTGTCTCCCAAAAGTAGATATGTGAGAGAGAAATGTAGATAGAATAAAAGATACGTGAATCTGAATTTAGAGTGTGAGCAAAGTTCACTAACAGCTCAAAGCTGCTCTAGTTTGGCCTTGGACCAGCAAAAATGAACTTGGTGTGATATATTAAACTGCCACCCATAAACCATCAGCAACCTAAAATGGTTTACTAAATTCACATAATGAGCACAATATGATTATTACTGAGGGAACTTTTAGTCAACGCACCAAATACATTGTTCTGTAATTATGTAAATAATATACTGATCTCTAGGTATAAGCTGAAAATATGCTTTTTATTTGTTGGGTGCTAACAAATACTGTATTTACTGGTTGAGAATAGATATTGCAAACTAGTCTACACAGGAGAAAAGAGAAAAAAAAATGTATCTTAGCTTAAAATACATTCTCAGGAAAAGTCATGGACACTGCTAAGATAAGTTTTTAAAAAGTTATCTATTTCCTAAACATTGACTAAGAAGATCTGGGAGCTTAATGGGTCTACTCATTAGGCTGCTAACCTCAAGGTCAGCAGTTTGAATCTACTAGCCATTCCACGGGAGACAGATGAGGTTTTCTGCTCCTGTGTAGATTTATAGCCTCTAAAACCCTGTACAGGGTTGCTGTGAGTCAGAACTGACTCGATGGTACATAAACTACCACTACTAAACAGTGACTTGGTTAAATCCTGCATGATTAAGAAAATGGTTGATCTTTAACCAGATCAACAGCATATACACATGCTGACTACTCAGCACTTTCTGAATGTTCTGTCCCTGCATTACTCTCTCCCATGTGCTAGACCTGAGATGAAGTTGCATGTCATTCTTTCCTAGAAGTTATTCTTTCCTAGATGTTCTTACTGATTTTGATCCAGAGGGTCTTTGCCTTACAGCAAGGTGTTTCCCATAGTCTTCTATTTTATTAGACCTGAGATTAAGAGTTTAAGGCCCAAGAATGAAATAATTGTTCAGCGTATGCCATGCTTTCATTAGTTTTATTCATTAACCTGCTGTTTCTAGTAGTTCATTTTTCTGCTTGTCAGCAGAATCACTTATTGAATGTACATGAACCAATCCAAACAAATAAAAACCCCACATTTCTGTCTAGTTGATTCTGACTCATAGCAATCTTGCAGTACAGAGTCCAACTGCTCCATAGGGTTTCCAAGGCTGTGAAGCTTTACAGGAGCAGATGGCCACATTTTTCTCTTGTGTAAACCAGTTTGTTGTTGTTAAGTGCTGTTGAATCTGTTCCAACTCATAGACACCCTGTATTGGGTTTCCAAGGAGCAGCAGGTGGGTTTGAACTGCCAACTTTTAGGCTAGCAGCCCAGTGTTCCTATGTTTTTGTTGTTGTTGTTAAGTGCCGTCGAGTCGATTCCAACCCATAGCGACGCTGTATAGGGTTTCCAAGGAGCCACTGGTGAGCTTGAACCACCAACCTTGCAGTTCAAACTACTTTAGTTTGACGCATTAGCCCACAGCACCACACCAGGACTCCTATAAGAGACATTAAATTGCCCTAGTGTAAGGAAAAGTTTTGAAAGAGAGGAATATAAAATGCTGTAGACATTTCTCTTGCTAAAATATTTAGTATCAAAACAAAAGACTCAGAAATTCTAGGTATCAATTTCTCAACTTTTGCTCTTTAGCTTTAGACAATCCAAGAGGGATGAATTTTTTACTTGTTAGATAAATTCTGACATAGGAGAAGTTATACTTTTTAGGTTTTCTTTAGAAGAACGGGATATGAAGAAACAAAAGAATGACATCTTTTCATTTGCTTTTACAAAATTCTGGTAAGCTCACAACTCACATACGATTTGAGTGCCATCTGCATTCAGTCTCTCACTTCCCCCACCTCATCAGGATGCCCTTCTTTGGACATGCGTAACTCAGCTGGTCTGATGCTAGCCTATAGCTAGACTTTCTGAAAGTGAATTCTATGCGTGCATGATTGTCTAAGGGTTTAACAAGACTCATACCCCATTCACCTTGTAAAGACATGGCCAATGCCTGCTTCTCTTTCTCTGCCCATCCAGGTGCTGGAGGATGCTTTAAGTAAAACTTCCAATTTGCTCAATAATTATGAATGTCTCATTCCTTGTTTTACCCCAAACTAAATAATAGATCTGTTTGATGCTGCTCTATGTCATTTAGTTTCTGCATTGTGAGCATTTTGTTCTAAATCTCTAATATTTTATGTATCTTCAATTATGGATCCCAAGGCTGCTTTCTTCTGTGGGACTGGTTCATGAATCAGTAAAGATGAGTGAAATTCCTTCAGGTCTGAATGTTTCTTTCTCATCACACATACTGTTGTTCAGCTTGGTTTTACAACATATTTGTGTCCTGTTAGAAACAGTGCTCTGCTGTGGCATGAGGTCCCGTCCTGCCACCTTCTCACACAATCAGTCACACACCAAGTAGCACTTGTATCCAGTTGATGGTTCTCCTTTAGACTTAATTCTGTAGGTAGTTTGATTTTTCACAAAAAACTTTCCAATTCATCCCGATCATAAAACTTAGCCCTTTCTGCTTAGATCCTTGCAGTGTTTTATGACATCTCAGATGGTGTCATCGATCCAACCAATGAACATATTTCTATTTCATCCAAAACAGATTTAAAAAGCATGATCTCCAGAGCCAGCTCCCATGAATCCACATTTGTTATCACAAACGTTCCAGTAAACCATTGTGAATACATCCCTGCCATCCATTTTGCACCCATGTAAGCAGGCCATGTTTTTAGGCCACCTACTTTTTGATAAATACATTATATGGCCTAAATAAATAATAATAAAAAGCAAGGTATGTTATCCTTCTTGTTTATTTAAATCAGAAAACTGCTTTATTATGAGAGATAAAGAAACCCAACTCAGTACTTCAAATGAAATTTTATATTAAGAACAATGATAATTTTCAGAACATAGTAACAAAAAAATTATTGCCTGAAAACCAATTATGCTGTAATGGTGCACGAATGGTTTCAGTCCACGGGTCTACATAAGCAGGTCTTCACCTAAAGTATTCCAGTGTGCAGTCATTAAATTTACACAGCTAGGAAACCCCTTTATTCCATTCTCTATTCCGTCTTTTCCAGATTGTTTATTTCAAATAGGTTTTACTGGAGAAAAACAAGATGTGAGAGAGAAGCTCACAAGAGTGCTGAAGTAATTGGTATTTGTTTGGTTCAACACTGTGTGACTTCAATTGCAAAAGAGAATCTATGTGGGGGGAAAGGAGAGGAATCAAAGGAAAATGGAGACTGTTTGAGTAGGTTGCATTGATGCAGTCTTATTTCTCTAAGGAAATAAACGTTGTTGTCAATGCTGTCAAGTTAATTCCGACCCATAGCAACCCTGGATAAGGGTTCCAAGGAGCGACTGGTAAGCTTCAACCACTGACCTTGTGGTTCAAATGATTTTGCAGTCCAGCACATTAACCCACAGCACACTTCCTCATTCCCATTACTAAGATAATATACAGCGATAGGAAAAAATCAATGCTCTAAACCAGAGATCAACAAATTACTACTACCTGTGGGCCAAATTCAGGTAGTTGACTATTTTTATATGGCCCACAAGCTAAGAATGGTTTTTACAATTTTAAATTGTTGGAAAAAAATTTAAAAGAAACTAATGTTTTGTGTAAAGATGTCAGTTTAAGGACTAAGGTGCTCCTGACTCAAGCCATGGTATTTTCAATAGCTTCACATACATGTGAAAGTTGGACGGTGAATCAAGAAGATTTTAGAAGAATCGATGCCTTTGAGTTATGGTGTTGGAGAATATTGAAAGTACCATGGACTGCTAGAATAAACCAACCTTTGCTGGAAGAAGTACAGCTAGAATGCTCCTTAGAAGCCAGAATGGTGAGACTTAGTGTCTCATTTGTTGTTGTCAGGTGCCATCGAGTTGGAACCGACTCATAGCGACCCCATGCACAGTAGAACGAAACAATGTTCGATCCTGGGCCAACCTCACTACCGCTGCCACACTTGAGTCCATCAATGATGCCACCTGGCTGATCCATCTCGTTGGGGGTCTTCCTCTTTTTCTCTGACTCTCCACCCTACCCAGCATGACATCCTTCTCCAACGATTGTTTCCTCCAGACAATATGTCCAAAGTAGGAGAGACGAAGCTTAGCCATCCTGGCCTCCAGGGAGCACTCTGGTTGCACTTCTTCCAAAACAGATCTATTGGTTCTTTTGGCAGCCCATGGCACTTTCAGTAATCTCCTCCAAAACCACAACTCAAAGGCATCAATTCTTCTACGATCCTCCTTATTCACTGTCCAGCTTTCACATCCATATGAGGCTATTGAAAACACAATGGCCTGGGTCAGGCGCACCCTAGTGTCTCATACTTCAGACATATTATCAGGAAGGACCAGTCCCTGGAGAAGGACATCATGCTAGGTGAAGTCATTGAGAAGAGGAAGATCCCCATTGAGGTGATTTGGCACAGTGACAGCAGCATTGGGCTCAAGCTTAACCACGATTGTGAGGATGACACAGGACCGGGCAGGGGGTGTTTCATTCTATTGTACTGTGAGTTGGAACCAACTTGACGGCACCTAACAATAGCAATATTCTGTGAAATTAGAAAACAACACTCTAATTATTTACAGCCGAGACTGTGTGGCCGCCTAGCTTTGTACAGTAAAGATTTTCTGACAACTCCTGTAAAAGATAGAGCAGAGTGAAGATTTCAGTTTAGTAAATTAAAGAGGCAAGGAGGGATTTTAGTGACTCTTGGAGAAACCGGTTTACTTGTTTTTGTTGTGCTTGAACTGCATTAAGCCCTGGTTAATTTTTTTTTTTTTGAAAGTGAAGGCCAGGCAGATTCCTGCTATTGTTTCTGTTCCTGTCAGTGATCACTTGGGTGACACTGAGGTGTAGATGCCAGTTTGACAATCACAACATATCTACCTATTCTATACCTTTCTGCTCCTCCAGGTGGTTTTCCACATTTTTAATGACTAAAGAAAGCAATGTGACTGTTACTAACACTTGCATTAAGTATTTTGGACTGTTGCAGATTCTTTTGAAGGGCTTTCTAGTAAGGATTTTTGAAAATACTCCTATCTTTTAAAATACTCATATCTTAATATTCTAAATTTATTTCATCCTGCTTTCTCTTCTTGTAAGCTTTTCATAAGAACACAGAAAGGGAATTTCTTAGAGCCTGTGTGTTAGGGCTATTGCTAATATAAAGGCCACTTCCAGAGAAAGGTGTGAAATTTCCACTACCACCTCTCAAAGCAGCGCCCACCCAAACAGAATGCACATTCAGTTGAGCTACTTTTTGGCTCTTTAAGGAATCCAGATAAAGCGAAACCAAACACAGTGCTTTCACACGATTCTGGCTTATAGCTGGCACCCTATCCCAGAAAGCCTAAATTTCAATCACTTAGTGACATTGATGTATTTATAAAATTGGGGACGTTAAATTGAAATTTCAGTTCTTTTTTTTATTAAATCGCTTCTCTCAGGGTAGTGGGACCTTATAAATCCACAGATCTGGTTTTGCTCTTGAAGGGGCTGAAGTTCTTAACCTAGATGTGGAAGAGACAGTGTAGCTAAAATTCTGATACAAAATTAAAATTTGGAATCCTGTCCCAGATCAGCACTCTGTTAAAGGAAACCAACGTCTCCCCATTCTTCTCCATGGGAGAGGGGGGAATATTTCTGAGTTTGAAGTAAAGAAGATTTTTGCACTCTTTATGAAAGGATAATACTGATAATCCTTTTGTGTCCTTCGTATTTGTCCATTTTTTAGACGAAAGTAAGCGGGACAAATCACAGTGGAGGCAGTTTTGAAGAGGTGCTCAGTTCCACTGCCCACGCCAGTGCCCAGAGCTCGGCTGGAGACCCTCACCGGTCGGAAGAGGAGGAGCTGCAGGGCTAGGCTCCTCCCAGCTGCAGCTGCCACTGCCCCACAAATCCAGATATGAAGACCAGAAGTCCTTTGTCATTGTTATTCAAATGGCCTTGCCATTTGAATGAAATGTCCTCCATTTGTATTTGTGTTTTGATACCCTGACCACCTACTTTCAATGTTCATATTTTGTCTTTAATTGAATATCCTAAATTGAGCAGACACCTTAATTGTAACCCATGTCTTTGTGTAATGTAATGTACATTTTCCAAACATGCCACTATTAATTATTTGCTTTGGTTTTTGCATTGACTCTTTTATGATGCATGTGTCAATGAGGGCTGAGGGAACAGTCTTTCAGAATAGTTAGATTAGCAGTATGGAACTCTTTATAACAGTTTCCAACAATGGATGATCATTAAAATTTTACTATTTTAGTTGATTCCCCCTTTACCTAAGCAAATTACAAATATTTACGTAAACAATTAAAAGAATTACTTTTAATGATAAGACTTTGAATTCTTGATTTCTTTCAGTCTTAGAAGCTATTGATGACCATAAAGTAATTCTGCAGATGCTATTTAAAATCCTTTACTGCTAATGTGGTGAACATGAAAGAAGATAATACTCATATACAAGTAATTGTAACCTCAGCTACATTAGGCTGGATTCTATCTAGTTATTAACTCCGTGAAGAATATCTAAAAGGAGGATAGCTGAAAAATGGGAGAAGCAGAGTTCTCCAGCCTAACCAGTTTGCAAATCTTGATTAGGTGAAAAAAGCTTATTCATGCAACCAGATTTCCTGAAGGTAGTAACTTTTAAAATTCCCTTTTCTCCTTCTAAATGGGAATATACATTTATTATTGGGTAACAGAGATACAACCTCAAGATAAATTTTTGAAATATATGGACTAATTAAAAATTACACTTTAAAAAGTCTACATAATGTATACTGATATATGTACGTTAATTAAAAAATATATATTATTAAATGTTGTTGATATGTGCCATCTAGTCAGTTCTGACTCTTAACAACCATGTATAGGGTTTCTGGGAGACCTAGTGTGGAGCTGTAGGATAAAACACTGGACTACAGGGATAGCAGTTCAAACCCACCAGCCACTCCTCAGAAATCCTACAGAGTCACTATGACTTGGGACCTACTTTCGGTCCAGTGTTGATCCTACAGCGCCACACCAAGACTCCAATTAAATTAATGGAGTAGGATAACTCCCACTGTAGGACAAGCACTGGACTGATAACCATAAGTCTACTGGTTAAAACCCACCAGCCACACCTTGGAAACCCAATAGAGGGTTGGAACCAACTTAACAAGCTCTTAGCAATGACAACAATTGAAAATCAGTCTGGCTCAGTACATGATGTTTGAGGCCAGGAAATTTAGCCAAGGGGATGGGGCTGTAACTTGATTCACAGTGAACAAAGAAATCCTGCATGGAGGAGTATTAACATTCTTCTTAATTTGTTTTCCAGCTTATGGGTTGAACTCGCAGGGCTAGAACCGAGAGGTTGGAGATTTGAGTACACTCAGAGGTTACTTAGGAGAAAGACCTTTAGAAAAATCAGCCATTGAAAACACGGAGTGCAGTTCTACTCTGAGACACACGGGGTCACCCTGGGTAGGAGTTGACTCCACATACCTGGTGGGGTAGTAGAATCATGCTTTATCTAAAGAATGTGAAGAATGCATTAAAAAAGCAGGCAGCAATGAGTTCAGCAATGCCAGCCTGTTTACCATTTCAAACTCATCAGACAACTGCAGACTGGGACCAGGGAAGATGAGTCTCCAGCAGTGGGCAAGCAGCAGTCACAAACCAGCTGATAGTGTTTGGATTCCAGCCTCCTGAGATCATGACTTCAATTTATGCTGGAGGACAAATTAGGAAGAATGTCAACATCATGTATCTGAAATAATACTGTGAAAAGAAAATGTATTCCATCAATCAGGAATATCAATACATTGTGATTCTAAAACAAAAGTGTTGGCATTTTTTTTAAAAAAAAGCACTATTGTGTAATTTAACTATTTACCACTTTTAAATACTGCTGATTTGATGGAAAATATTCATCTAGTACAACTGTATCTTACAACTCACATCTTATGACGATTACATGACAGTAATCTGTATCTTACTCTAAATTAGTCATTTTCTTGTCTGTTATTTTACCATAGAAACTAGAGCTGTCTGCTTTACTATGGAATGTCTCAATAAGCCATACTGTTTATAGTGAGTGGGAATTGACTATCAATTAGCAACAGCATGGAGATCTAAGATGCTCGTCTGTCAGTTTTATTTTTTCTAAAATATTTTGAGCTTTACTATAAAATGGTGAATAACATTACGAATTTCAATCCCAACACCCTCTTCTCATTAACAAACTGGAATTGAGGATGCAATAAAGGAAAATGGTGGTGATAAGGGTTACAAGTGATTTGTATGAAATGTAAACAGCTTCTTAAACTTGGTGTTTCAATAAAATTTCAAGCTATAGTAACTGTCATGGTTACTTTTGACCAACTGTATTTAAGAATGATAGAAGTTTTTATTGCTGTCAAGGCAAAAATACATGATCATATGTCTTTCTCACATTTAAATATGAAGACTGACAATATACTTAAAATGCTGAGCACAGAGTATGCCATTTCACAAGTCAATTCACAAGGCTTTTTAATCCCAAAGGTTTTGAGATAGGCATTTTTCAAATACGTGGCTACTGAGAATAGTATAGCAGCTGTAGTATTGACAAGGAGATGCCAGAAATTCAAACTGGATTTCAAGAGGATATGGCACCAGGGAGATCATTGCTGATGTCATATGGATCTTGGCTGAAAGCACAGAATTTCAGAAATATGGTTACTTGTGCTATATGACTATGCAAAGGCTTTGACTGTGTGAGTCATGATAAACTATGGATAACACTAGAAAGAATGGGTAATCCAGAATGCTTCATTGTGCTCATGGGCAACCTGTACATAGACCAAGAGGTAGTCATTCAAAAGAAAAAGGGGATACTGAATGGTTTAAAGTCAGGAAAGGTGTGTGCCAAAGTTGTGTCCTTTCACCATACCAACCTGTATGCTGAGCAATAATCCAAGAAACTGGAATTATATGAAGAAGACAATAGCATCAGGATCTGAAGGCTCAGTAACAACCCACAATATGCGGATAATAAAACTTGTTTGCAGGAAGCCAAGAAGACTTGAAATATTTACTGATGAAGATCAGACTACAGCCATCGGTATAGATTGCAGCTCAATATAAAAGAAAAAAAAAAATCCTCACAAATAGACCAATAAGTAACATCATGATAAATGGAGAAAAGATTGAAGTTGTTAAAGACTTCCATTTTGCTTAGATCCACAATCAACAGCAACAGAGAAATCAAACAACATATTACATTAGGCAAATCTGCTGCAAATCTCTTTGATGTGTTAAAGGGCAAAGATAATCAGTTTGAAGACTAAGGTACACCTGACCCAAGCCATGGTATTTTCAATTGCTTCATATTCATGTGAAAGTTGGACAATGAATAAGGAGACTATGGTGCATTTGTGTTGGAGAATATTTAAGTACCATGTTTGTTTGAAAGAAACAAACAAATCTGTCTCAGAAAAAGTGCAACCAGAATAATCCTTAGAGGTGAACATGGTGAGACTTTGTCTTTCATACTTGGGACATGCTATTAGAAGGCACCAGTCCTTAGAGAAGGACATCATGTTTGGTAAAGTGAAGGGTCAGCAAAAAAGAGGAAGACTCCCAACAAGATGGACTGACAGTGGCAGCCAATAATGGACTCAAATGTAACAATTGTGGAGATGGCACAAGACCGGGCAGTGTTTTGTTCTGCTGTCCTAAGGTTGCTTTGAGTCAGAACCTACTCAACAGTACCTAAAAACATTAAATGTGACCCAGTTAGAGATTTTCTGAGTCTCTCTTTGAGCTGCTTACTGCTTTATTACAGACAAACATTCTCAAAATAAAACTCAAGGGCCACAAAAAACATTCTGGTTATAAATACTTGACTTGATCTGAGGTTATTTTGTGTAAATGTTTTCATGCAGGAGGCAACAAATGAGCAGTATTGATATATTGATAGATGGCGTTCTGTTTTCCTACTCTATCTCCAATAAAAATCAGACTTTGCACTCTACTTTTCATTGCAGAGCAACTATATGTACACATCTGTGTTGCTTCTGAAAACACCTTGCTTCCTGCAGATTGGGTATCCATGGATACTGTGAGGAGTTACCAGAGAAACGCACCTAGAATTCTCACCATGGCAGCTTCACAGGCAGTCTTCAAATGGAAACTGACATTTGAATGATACGGATAGGCACCACTGTTCCACACGAAATACTTGGCAGGGTTGCATGGTGCACTTCTGTCCTCACCGTTCAGGGGTTGTGCATCACTGAAAGGCAAGTGTGTTTGTGTATGTGTGGGAGAAGCTGTTTACCCATCCTAAGTTTTAATGGCCACTTCCCTTTGGATAGGAATTAATCACAGGATAGAAGAAAGGGAAGTAATGAAGAGAAACCTGTTTTAATGTGCTCCTAATAAAAGGCCCATGGAGTCTCTGGTAGCGTAGTGGTTACGAATCGGGCTGCGAGCGGCAAGGTCAGCAGTTCGAAACTACCAGCGGTTCTGCAGGAGAAAGATGAGGTGGTCTGCTCCCGTAAAGATTTATAGCCTCGGAAACCCTGTGTAGGGTCGCTATGAGTCGGAACCGACTCCACGGCACATAACAACAACAACAACAATAAAAGGCCCAGTGATCCTAGCTATGTGCTCTTTGTAAGAAGAAACAGAGTCGAGGAGAGAAACGGATTCACAGCAGGCAGGTTTATTGAGAGTAAACCTGGGGGCACTCAGTCATGAGACCAAGAACCCTCCTGTTTCTTACAGACTTGGGTATTTAAGGCGGTGTGGTCCTGGGCACAGTTCTGGCAAGTTTCCAATGGGTGGGGTTATGGAGATTTTCCTGAAATCTGAAACTACCAAGGGGAGGGTCTTGGTGTAATAAAGACTTAAAGCTTTCTGGAGGCTGGAAGCTTAAGCAGGACTTTATTCAGCACTACTTGGGGGCAGCTGCAATGCCATTTTGTTGATCAGGCACAGGGTCCTTCACTCTTCCTACCTTCCTTCAATTGGAGTCCTGGTTATGCGGTGGTTAAGCGCTCAGCCAACCTACCTGCTGCTCTGTAGGAGAGAGATGTGGCAGTCCACTTCTCTAAAGATGAAGGCCTTGGGGCCCTGATGGGGCAGTTCTACTCAGTTCTATAGAGTTGCTATGAGTCCTAATCAACTTGGCGGTAACAGGTTTGTTATATTTTTGTTTAGTGGTAGTGTTAGGTGCCATCTAACTGGTTCTGACTCATAGCGACCCTATGTCCAACCGAACAAACTACTGCCCAGACCCGCAATTGCTGCCATTTTTGTTGTTACCATTGTGTCAATCTATCTCACTGAGGGTCTTCGCTTTGGTACTTCTGATTACATAGCTCTCATCTGGTCCCAGGTTTTAAGATGTGGAAAGCAGACAGTGACAAAAGCACAAAGGAAGACAAGTGCCATTTGACAAGGATTGTATGGCCCAATTTATATTCCCAAATGACAGGAAGCAATGAAAGGTGGAGTAGATCATGTTAGCTGGTTTATAAGTCTGAACAGAAGCCTAAAGCAGGTCACAGTGAAATTCAAAATCTTGCTCAAGACATTTGTCATTTGAAAAAGGGAGCATTTCATCTAAGTGTACATTACTACTACGTTTCCATCCCTGGCTCAGCATTCAAACAGCTGTCCTTAAAAAGAATGAAAATTTCTATTGTTCTGAATTTGGCCTTCAGGGATGTAGGCCATTAATTCAGATACTTTAAATTCTCACTGCTCCAACATTTTACGCTTTTAACATTTATTTAGTTAGTTCATAAAAAAGGCATTCCCCCCCCCCCTCAAGTTTTCATCTATGGCATTTTGATGGCTACCTCCTGTTCCATCGCTCCTTTTATTGCCCAAATCACATCATATTTCTTGTTGGAGTCTAGACAAGTAACAGCAACCAGATTCACATCTGGGGAAATCAACAGCAAACACAGTGCCATGAAAAGGAAAACCCCCATGTTTGTCCCAGGATCTCAGCCACGCAGAGAACATCTCAGACGTGAGGCTCATCGCGGGCTGCAGCTATGTTGCTGTTCCTTTGTGCTTCAAGTTCAGAAACAAGCTGGACTATTTCAGGGTGACTGAATTTTCCTGCAAAACAAGAGATGGAGGTGGGGGTGAAAAGCATTCTCATAGTAACAAGAAAATAAATAAATTGCTCCTACTTGATCCCATGGCTTGTCAGGGGCTGTACTCTCTTCTCTGACCTAATTCACATTGCCTCTGGCCCTCAGACAACACCACTCACAGCCTCTCCTGCTTCCATCATCCAAAGAACCCTAAGTCACTCTTCTTTGTGCCTAAAGGTTACAGCTTCCCATTCATTGTCACTCTCGGGTGGATTCTTGGTGATTTCAATACACATGTAGATAGATGACCCTTTCTCACAACTCTTCCTCTCTGTTCCGTGGCCTCTCCTCTCAGCCACAGCCTCCAGCAGGTACACCTGGAACTCTTCACTCCAGGAGATGTTAGTGACTATGAACGTCACTACTCCCGAAACCGCCTCTCCGCTTGCACATCAGTCCCAGTAATTCTCACCCTTCTTTCCCTCTTCAATTTTTTCTACCAGATTGTTGTTGTCAAGAGTCCTAGTGTGGCAATATAGGATAAGCACCAGATGTTAACTGCAAGGTCAGTGGTTCAAACCCACCGGCTGCTCCCCTGAAACCCAATACAGGGTTGCTATATGAGTCATGACTGGCAGACAGCACTTTAACAACAACAATGTTGCTGTCAGCTGTCTCTAACTTGGCCGGTCTCATGACAACCCCATGCATAACTAAAGGAAACGCTGCACTGTCATATGCCATTAAACTCACTGGCTGATTTCCAGAAGTAGATCCCTAGGCCTTTCTCCCCAGTCTGAGAGCTCTGCTGAAACCATTTCAGCATCTTAGCAATACGCATGGGGTGTGCTGACCCAGAACCAAACTTCAGAGAGAATTCTACTACAGTATCACCACTGACTGCCCCCACCTCCGCCTACATATAAACAGGCTCCTTTAGGTCCCATCTTAAAGCAAACCCTCACCTGACCGTTCATCCCTCTCTGCTTTATAGCCTCATCTGTCTTTAAGGAGAATTCTCTAGAGGACAGTGTAGACGTACAGTCTCTAGTTCCTTTCCTTCCAACATCTCTTGAAGCTCATATCAGGCATTTATTCCCACCACTCCTCCCCAAACTGCTCTTATTGGGGCACCCATTATTTCCTTGTGGCTGATTCTCATTTTTCTTCTTGGCTGACCCCTCACCAGTACTTGGCAAGTTACTAGCCCCCCTTCTCTTTGAAACACTTTTTCCCTTGGCTTCTAAGACCTCTGATTTTCTTTCCCCAAACCTATCCTTTTCTATTTAGTGCCAACTTCATTCTTCCATTCACTCAGGCCCAAATCCTTGGAATCCTATCACAAATACCCTACACCTACCTGTCAGCAATCCTGTTGAGTTTATATTCAAAACATACACAGAACTGGACCACGTCTCTCTTCAACTGTTACCACCTGGTCCAAAGCATATTTCTCACTTGTGTATTGCAATAAACCTCAACTGGTCTGTCTGCTTCTAACCCAAGTCCCTTTTCAAACACCAAGCACAGACTGATTGGAAAACGGGGAGCAGTTCATTTTAACAGAGTCCTCTTAGGTGAGATATCCTTTTAAGGTAGGCCTTGAAGGTATAAGTGGGGTTCCACCAGGCAAGGAATATGGGAAGGGCATTCAGGTGGAGGTACTTAGGAAACACCCAGGAAATCAGTTTTTCTGAGTCAACCTCATATGCCTGCATCCTACCTAGCCACAGAAACAAAAGATCCTGAGCTGACATGAGAAATGAACAGCGCCCAAGTGCCCACCTATTTTCCCACCTGGCCCTCCCTCCAGGGCAGGGGCTGGTTTCTCATCTGCCCACATATTGAATGGACCACCTAGGAGTCAGACACCAAAACTGCCATCACCCAGAAGTGCTGCCATCATGTCCTTCCCTTCTCGTACTAGAGGTCCTGGTTGTTGACACTAGCCCACGGCCGGCAGCTCAGGATGCTTTCTCAGACTTGTGATCTACAGCACCGCCTCCTCCCAGGCTAGTTCCCGCAGTTGCTCTCCCACTCAGGAGCTCCCTGATGCCATCATCCTGCAGCCAACATCCAGCAGTCTGATGCCACCGATGTCTCTGGGCTTCTAGCCATAAACATGGAGAGTGGGTGGCTAGAAGACCAGAGACATAGGTTACCATCAGACTGCTGGACCTTTGGGTTATTCAAGAGTGCCATGATTATTTCTTTAGAAAAAGGACAGGCACAGAAGTTATCCGAGATGAATTGGGGGGTCTATTAGCATGCAACTGCAACAGTCCAACCCAGAAATAATGAGTCTTGGCTCACTTTTCTTATTCTCAGAGGAAGTGGAGTTGGAAAAGAGGAAATTGAAGCAACTGCAAATCAAATTTGCAACACAGTCTGAGAGGCAGTATGTTTTCTGGTGAAGGTGCATGAGGGTAAGAGAAAGGCTATCATTAGGAATGTTCTCAGGGGATGTAAGGGAATTCCCTGGGGGAATATAGGGAGCAACCACAAGTGTTCAAGCTGCAATGTTCACACAGGTATTCATACTATAGTAATAGTCTATTGAGCCCTGTATAAGGAAAAAAATCTATCAAATGAAAATCACTTAAAAACAGTTATGATATGTCAGGCATTGATCTAACTTATATAAATTAATTTAATGCATTCTCACACAATCATGTAATTATGCCCATTTTATAAAATAAGAAAACTAAAGCTCAGAGAGGTTAAGTGATTTACTAAAGGTCACACAGCAAATTTGTGGCAGAACCAGGATTGAAACGCTAGAGGTTTGACTCCAGGACTGTGCTTCCTAGGAAGCACTAGAATGACAGTGGTGAGTGCAGCTGCTTGAGATTGTCCTTTCTCAGATCTCTAATTCTTACACTTATAAAGCTTTAAAGACTACAAAGCACATTAGAGGGCATTTCAAAGAGTTTGTGGAAAAAGTGGAATTTTTCCATGAACCTTTTGAAGCCCCCAGACAATGTATAAGGAAGACTGTAGAAGAATTGGCGCATTTGAATCAGGGTGTTAGAGAATAATATCAAAAGTACTGTGAAATGCCAGAAGAACAAACAAAGCTGGATGTTGTACAGCCAGGATGCTCCTTAGAGGTCAGGATGGTGAGACTTTGTCTCTCATACTTTGGACATGCCATCAGGAGGGTCCAGTCCCTAGAGATGGACATCTTGCTTGGTAAAGTAAAGGGTCAGAGAAAAAGAAGAGCCCCAATGAGACAGATTGGCACGGTGGCAGCAGCAGTAGTCTCCAGTGTAACAATTGTGAGGATGGTGCAGGACTGGTCAGTGTTTGTTCTGTTGTAGATAAGGTCACTATAAATCAGAGCTGACTCAACGACACCTAATAAGAAGTATCTATTTTAACTAGCTCTGGTGACACTGTAGGGTAAGCTTTGGGCTGGTGACCACAGGTTGGTGGTTCAAAACCACCAGCCACTGTGAGGGAGAACCACAAGGCTATCTGCTCCCATAAAGATTTATAGCCGCAGAAATTCTAAAGTGGCTATGAGTCAGAACTGGATCGATGGCAGCAAGTTTGTGTATCTATCTTGACCAAAGCAGGGTGACTATTATGATTCCCATTTTATAGATGAGGACGTACACTCAGAGGTACCAGGAGACTGCCCAAGGCACACAGCTAGAAGACGGAAGAGCCAGAATGTGACCACAGCTAGCTCTCATCCACCCACTTTCCTCTCACCAGGAATTTTTAGCTGTTCATATAAAAGGATGGAAGAGAGCACAACCATGAATTGCAGTGGCACCAAGAGTCAGTCAAGCTACAGCTGATTCTTATTGAAAATAACTTGAGTACCTGCTGTGGAATCATAGAAGTCCTGCAGTCTCCCAGGTTTGTTCTCAAGGTCTTCATATTCTGATGCCTGTAGAATCATCTCACACTGGTCCAGCTGTTTCACATATTTGGCTTCTGCACTGGATTGGGTCTCATACTCCTAAGTAAATGGACAATTAAAGCAGATGACTCAGGGTAGCATGAGAGGTTGTTGTTGATGGTGGTGGCGTGCCATTGAGTGGGTTCTGACTCATAATGACCCTGTATAGGGTTTCTGGGGCCAGGACAATTCTAATTTTGGTACCTGAAGTCAGAACCACAGCGAAAATCACATGCAACTTCACAAAGCAGCTTTCATTTAATTTTGCAGCTTAACATCCATACAAGACAGAGGTGCTTACAATTCCATGTAGTCCACCATAGGCTTGGAAGTCTCCTTTGTTCTACTTGACACTTCCAAGCTCTTTCTCCCTGTTTAATATCCTGTCTTCATTTCAAGATCACTGTTCTGTAATCTACCCGAGGAGTTTATATCTTGAACCTTTTAACTTGGAACTCAAATTTCATCTTAACCTCAAATGTTGATTTCCCTCTCCATTTAATGTCAGGTTTGTTGTGTGTGTATATTTTGTTTTCTTTTTCTCCTAAGTGAATTTCTAGCTTTATCATTTTCTTCTGGCTACTGCTTTGCACGGGGACTCTTGGCTCAAACTTTCTACATAAAACCAGTTGCTGTCAAGCAGACTCCCAGTTATGGTAACCCCATGTATCAGACTACAGCTGTCCGACTTTCAGTGGCTGACTTTTCACACATGATCACCAAACCTTTCTTCTCTGGTGCCTCTGGGTAGCCTCAGACCTCCAAACTTTCGTTTAGCAGCCAAGTACATTAACTGTTCATTCTACCCAGTGATTCCACTGACTACATATGGTGACTTAAATCAAGTCCTTCTGGGTTTTGACTACTGAACATCTAAATTTTACAGGTGCTGGGTGTGTGTGTCATTGGGATGGGGGTACACTAGTCTGTTGCAACGTCCATGGAGAACTCAAGACACCATACTAACAGTTGAGGATTTTATTGGGGAAGTTATCAGGTAACAATACAAGGTAAAAAAAAAATGATCAGGGATTAGGGCAAAACCTTCTAGTCAATTGTGGATGAATGTCCTCAGGACACATCAGCCCACCAGTATGTCCCAGCCTGAAGGCCTCTTGACCTCTATCTAGCTCCTGGGGTCAGGAAACTACCTCCCAACTTAAGTGCAAGGGAGGAGAGCAGATTTGTAACGTCTTGCCTTTCTATTGGTCCCTCCCTCCTTGGTACAGACTTAAACAAAGAGTTACAGGAGGTCTACTGCTTAGAGCATGGGATATCTGTCACAGAACCAGAAGTCCCAATTCGTATAATACAGAATCATTCTTCTATGAAGATCAAAGTGCTCCCCACTGGTTTTACTACTAAGTTCTTACTGGTAATTCCACCCTAGACGTGTTTGGCTAATGACTTTATTATGTCTTCCTGGCAACATGATGTGATGTAAATCACTAGAAAGTTTCTTAGTTTTATTAAATGCCTGATTCTTATAAAGGCAGCTAATTGGATTTTTGACAAAGCTAAAAATAATACAACCTAATATAAGAGACATCAGGTTTGGAGACTTTGTACACTAGTAACTGGGCTACAAGCATCTGGCCTAAGATCATAGCAACAAAGATGAGTAGAAGTAGACAGATTTGGGAAATCTTAGGGAGAAATAACTGAACAAAATATTAACGTAAATCAGAGTGCAAATAGAAGATAGCATTCCAGTTTCTATGTAGGTGGATGGTAAAACAAGGAGCAAAAAGAAAAGAGAAAAAAATCTGCGAGTGCAAAGGCAGAAAACCTAAAACCTCATGGATTTGGATTTAATAACAAAACTAGGGGAACGTAGCATTCCCACGAGCCCCAAGCTATGCACAGGTGGGGACAAACCACCACCAATCATAAGCCCTGAAAGTGATCAACATCTGTTTGGAAGAAAGCCAGAGGGAAGGATCGTGGGTCTGATGGACTTGTGAACCAGTGACCTCAAAATAACGGAAAGAAAAACAAAAAAAACCCAACTCCCTAGAATCCCCAGTTTTTGAGACTAGAGGCTGACACTGCGAGTGACTGGTCCACTTCTGCAGTGGATGTAAGGATAACCCAGCCAGTCCAACCTGCAAGACCATGCTCCAGGACAGGGCCCACGCAGTTAAAAATGTGAACTCACAACTGAGGGGGATGAAGATAACAGAGAGACGAAGAAAAGAAAAAGTCGAGATAAAAGTGGGGGAGGGGAACAAAGCCTGGAAATCTCTGACACTTAAACACGATATAAAAACAAAAACAACTGAAGAGGAGCTCTGGGAAGTGAGAAAAGCTATCAGAACCAACTTCCTTCCAAAAGCTCAGGAAGACTAATTGCACCACATCAAAACGAGCAACAGAAAAGTACATAGGTCAGATCCCATACAAGCTTATCAGAAGAGAAAGAGAATAAAGAAAATAGGGTTTTTACAAACAGTAAAGACATAATCAAAAGAAAAAGATCAAATTTATGACAAAGTATTTCAAAAGGAACTAAAACACACCAAGAAATGAAACAGCAGCATAAAAAAGGATGGTTTGAAAACAGTAATTTGAGAAATAAAATGTGGTGTAGTATATTACCTACTAACTTCCACCAAAACATTTTGCCCTGCTGGGCCTGGGTAAGAGAAGGTAGGCGAGGATACTGATAGGATGGCATGATTCAGGTGTGGATATGTTAGCAGAGTTCATTGTCATTGTAAAAACTTTACACTCTAGCCTGGCTTTAAAAAGAGCCACCACAGAAGCAGGAGTGGGGATCTCACCACCATCAAGAAGAGCCAGGAAGGGAGCCATCCTTTGGACTCTGAGATCCCTGTGCGCTGGACCTCCTTGACCCAGGGACAGAATGCTGTGACACTGGAGTAGTGGCAGACAGATAGCAGCAGAACAAAGGACCAGAGCACAAGACTGAGCAGTGGGCTTCCCAGTCCACAGAACTAGTAAAGCTGAATACCTTTGGGCACGAAGCTTGCTTGCAAGGTGAGGTATCTCTAGGCACTTCAGTGGGGGAGGTAGGTTTCCTGACTCATGGAGCTAGAGACCAAAGGGCCAGTGCCTTCAGGCTGGGGCTTATGGTGGACTGGTGTGTCCTGTAGGCATTCATCCGTAGTTGACTGGAAGACTGTGCCCTGGTCATTTTTTGATGGTGTATTGTAACCTGGTAACTTCCATAATAAAAGCCTTAACTATTAGTATGGTGTCTTGAGTTCTGCATGGGCATTGCAATAGATTACTGAATCCAATAGAGAAGAGAGACAGCAATAAGGAATGCAAGGATAATTAACCATGATATATGAAGGGGCTTTTCAAAGTTTGGGAAAATGGAATTAACAAACAATGAAATTTTTCCATAAACTTTTGGAAGCCCCCTCATATAATGCCTCAGGGGAAACAGAAGTTGAAAAGGTGGTTGTGGTAAAAGTAAAAAAACAGAAGAGGTTATAAAGGCCTTGGAAATAAATGATCAAATATTGAAGATGGGCAAAGAAGAATCAATATACAGATTGATAGGAATCTGCAAAAAGAAAACCAAAAGCAACAGGGAAAACTATTCCAGAAAGATCTTTTGACATGAAAATAGAAAGATTAGAAAGCATATACTGAAAGTGCATACTTAGTACCTATAATGTCCAACACAAAGACATAGTCTAGTAAGATTATCAAACTGAAAAGGAAAAAGAAAAAATCCTTTGATCATCAAGACAAAAGAACATGTGACAAAAGGAAAATAAAATTACGATCAGCATCACAACATATTTTCTTCTAGGGCAGAGATATTTAAGCTATTAAAGAAAAGAAACCGTGAGCCATGCAACACCAAGTGTGTCAAGAATAAAACTGTGTTCCACAGGATATTTTCAGTGGCTGAATTTTTGGCAGTAGATTGCTATGCAAGCCAGTATTTTAAATACCAACAGGGTATTTAAATACTGACAAGTTTCAACAGAGCTTCCAGACTAAGACAGATTAGAAGAAGGAGAGGGCAAATCACTTTTGGAAGATTAGACACTGAAAACCTTATGACTAGCTGTGGAACACTGTCTGATATAATGCCAGAAAACGAGTCCCTCAGGTTGGAAGGTACTCCTATTAAGACTTGGATAGGTTCGCCTCCTCAAAGTAGAGTTGACATTAAAAACATGGATGGAGTAAAGCTTTCAAGAACTTCATTTGTTGAAGAGGTACAACTAAAAATGAAAAAACACAACGGCTGCAAGCACCCATTAATAATTGGAATATGAAATGTACAAACTATAAATTTAGGAAAATTGGTAGTTGTGAAAAACTAAATGGAACTCATAAAGAGTGATATCCTAGCATTAGTGAGCTGAAACAGACTGCTATTGCCATTTTGAATAGGACAATAATACTGTTTACTAGGCTGGGAACAGCAAACTGAAGAGGAAGAGCATCACGTTTGTCCTCAAAAACAGTATTTCAAGATCTGTCTTGAAGTTCAATGCTGCCTGTGATAGAATACCCATATGCCTACAAGGAGTGCGGCTGTAAGCACTAGACTGCTAACCTCAAGGGCAACAGTTCAAACCCTCCAGTCACTCCTTGGAAACCCTATACAGGGCAACTGGCACTTAATAATAACAACAAAGAAGACCAGTTTCTACCACTATTATTCAAATGTATGCACTAACCACTGAAGCTAATGATGACTGTACTGAAGAAGTCTATCAACGTGTTCGGTCTGAAATTGCAATCAGATATGCAATAAAGATGCACTGACAACTACTGGTAATTAGAATGTGAAAGCTGGAAACAAAGAGGACTGGTAGTTGGTAATATGGCCTTTGCTGAGAGAATAACGCTGGAGACTGTATAATCGAATTTAGTAAGACCAATGACTTATTATTCAACAACATAAACAGTGACTACACCAGTGAATCTTACTAAATGGAACACACAGGAATCAAATTGACTGTCTGGAAAGACGATGGAGAAGTTCAGTATCATCAGTCAAAACAAGGCTAGGGACAGATTGTGGAATAGACCATCAATTGCTCATATATGCAATTCAGGCAGAAGCT